GGGCACCTCAGAAACACCACATTTTCTAGCCCCCTTGCAGTTAAGTTGAGGACATGTGACTGCTCCTGCCCAATAAAATATAAGCCTAAGGGATGAACGTCACTTCTGGTCTGAGGCGGCGAAGGGCCAGTGTGTCTTCTCCACCCTCCTTCTCCAAGGTGACCTTGAAGACCCCTGGTGGAGACCAGTGATTCACCAACTGTAATGCGCAGCCCAATCACTTGGGGGCCTTATTAAAATGAAGGTCCTGAATCATTTCAAACAAGCAGCCGGGTGGTGCGTGCCTTGGAGCAGACATCTGAGGAGGGAAGGCTCAGGGGGCGTGGCTCCAAGACAGAGAGGACCTGCCCGACCTCAGTGGACCATTCAGGAACAAAAGGAAACCTTCGTTGGGTTAAACCACTGAACTTTGGGGTTTATTTGTGACCCAAGCATAGCCTAATGTACCCCAATGAATACATTAGACTAGGAAGTTGTTAGTCATTCAACCAATATTTACTGAGTTCCTACCATGAACTCATTTTGTGCCCTGGACGCCTTGCTCTTAAGAAAGCACCAACTCTCAGGGTCGTGCAAGTGCGAGGTGGGCACCTGAGAGTGAGAGCGCCTGGCGCTTGGCCCCCTGGGTGCCCTGTGATCCCGCCCAACTCCGGCGCTGTACGTCTGTGGCGGAGCCAGGATTTGAAGCCGGGACCTTTGACTTGAGTCTGAGTTTGTTTCCAGCAACGCAAAGGGCAGCCGTGCTCAGTCTGGGGTCTTACTTGGGGGACAGTAGCAGCAGCCGAAAGATTGATGGGCTCCCGGGACCGGCACATCCCTCTGGTGCCAAACGTGGCGGCTGGGGGCCCGCACCACCTGTAGGCAGTCAGCAAAGTGGCAGTTCCGGCTGCAGTCCTTCCGCACTTCACACCGACGGCCGCGGACCCCCTGACCGGCCACGCGCGGGGCCTCCCACTGTCCACACGCGCCCATCCTCAGTTACTAGAGAGAATAAATTCCCAGCAAAAATCCACACTCAGATGCAGAGGCCGCTCCAGGCTGGCGGCAACACTTCAGCTCACCTCCTGTCCCTCTCCTGGGCAGCGGGCCCTCCTCCGTGCCTCGGTGTCAGCCAGCGAGCGTTTCCTGTTACTGATGTTGTTGGCATCACTGATCAGTGCGCCTCTTTCCTGCTCACACCTCCTTTCTTGCCCGTCTTCTTCCTTGCCCCAAAGAAAGAAGTGCTTCAAAACTGTTCCTCCCAGGAGAAGCGAATGAATAGCGACAGAAGTCAGAAGTACTGTACTTCTTGGGGGGCAGAAGTACACTCTTAGAAGGGGCATGAGGAACCTTCCTGAAATGTACCTCAATCTGGGTGGTGGTTACATCATTGGTGTGTACATATGTGAAGAGTCGTCCAGCTGTACACTTTTTAAATATATATATATTGATTTCAGAGAGGAAGGGAGAGAGATAGAAACATCAATGATGAGGGAGAATCATGGATTGGCTGCCTCCTGCATGTCCCCTGCTGGGGGCGGAATCGAGCCCGCAACCCAAGCATGTGCCCTTGGCCAGAATTGAACCTGGGACCCTTTCGTCCACAGGCTGACGCTCTAGCCACTGAGCCAAACCAGCTAGGGCTGTACACTTAATATGAATGCACATTAAGCCCTTCAATTTATAGAGATGCCACAGAGAGCTTTATAAGCAAAATAAATGACAACAACAAAAACCACAAGGAAAGTTAGGAGTCATAGGAACCTGTGCTGAAAATCTGGCTGTTTTCTAGCTGTGTGACCTTAAGTGAGTTGCCTAACCTCTCTGAACTTCACCTTTCTTATTGAGGTGTGGACTGTGAGGATTAGAAACATCACTTTAAAAAAAAAAAGTACTTGGCACAGGGCTGGCTCCCACTGGGTGCTCAATTCATAATCATTTTCATTATTATAACCAGTGGCCCCACAAGGACAGGATATGGGGTGCTCTTCCCTGCATGCAGGCAATAAGAGGGCACACTGTCAACAGAAAACTTAAAGATAAAGTTGAGGTGAAGCCAGTCTGCCTTCTGTTAGCACCAAGCACTGGCAAACCTCAGTAATGTCAGTCATGAAGTATTCTGTCCCCAAAATATCTTTTTTCCCCCTAAGTTCTCAACAATTGGTATGGTAACTGTTGAATATTATTAATATACTAGAAGCCTGGTGCACAAAAATTTGTGCACTGGCAGGTGGGGGGTCCCTTAGCCCAACCTGTGCCCTCTCACAGGCTGGGACCCGTCAGGAGATAACCACCTGCTGGCTTAGGCCTGCTCCCCTGGTGGCAGATGGCACGCCCGATTCTGCGGTGCCTGCCCCGTCTCCCCCGGTCGCACATGGCAAGCCTGGATCCCGCACTGGGGTGGGCGGCGGCTCTGGATCGCGCTGCCGCCAGCCCCAAGCAGGATGGCGCAGCGGGATCTGCCTGCAGTATGCAAATTAGCCGCCATCTTTGTTGGCGATTAATTTGCATATCGTGCTGATTAGCCAATGTGAGGCATAGCGAAGGTACGGTCAATTACCATGTTTGTCTATTATTAGATAGGATACGTAAGCTTGGAATGAGCACATTTTCATTTCTGGTCCTTTAATAAACATATTCTACATGGACGTTCACTTGGAGAATTTCTAGAATAGCTGTCCCCAACGCACATGGACTCAGGATCACACATTCTTCGGGAAAGTTCCTAACAGTTTGGAACTTGCTCTTGCTGCAGGGAAGTTCCTGTCTCCCCCCGCCACAGTGTCACATATTTCTGCATCTCAACAGCAGGTCCAAGAAACAACGCCTGCAGAGTGATGGTGAAGACGAACCTACGGGTTTTTCAATCCTGACATTCTGTGTGGCTATTTGGTGTGCTGGTCGGTGCTTAAAATTTAAAACAGGGGAAGGGTGGCCTGTGGAGGATAATGACTGGGTTTGGTAAGTGCAGATTTTAGTTCACACATGAAATATATTTGTTTCATCTCATGATTATTACTGAAAATAGTTTTTTCCTATAAAGTGGGGTGTTAAAAAATAAAATAAACATGCCTGACTAATATATAAGAATTTATCAGTCAATCAATCAATCCATCCGTGTATCTCTCCTTCCCTCCAAGTCTGTGGAAACCCCATCTACCCTTGGCCACTTCCTCTAGCCATAAGTGATCAAAACCTGCATTTTCATCTTCGTCCTTGTGAACTCTGAGAAAAAAAAGACATCTACGAAGGAGGGCTCCTGGTGACCAACTGGCTCAAACAAACAAACAAACAAACAAACCCAGAGCCTAGCAGCCATTTCTGCATGGGGGTCTCTCAGGCAAACTGCATTTCACAGAGAAGCCTGTCCTGGACTGCCCAGCTCTCCACTGTGTCTCTGCCCTCTGAGCCAGCCCTTATAAAGGAGTCCCTGGAATCCTATTTCAACCAGTAGAACAGAGGCTTTCCCCATCCAATCAGAACTGCACAGCTCCAGCCAATCAGAGGGGCTCTATTCTGACCAATCAGGACAGTGTCTTTTGGACCAATCAAACTGTGAGGATCTGAGTACTCATTTGCATGAGGATGGACTAATCAGGGACCCTGGGCAGGGACTCCTGTCCATATAAGCCAGCTCCCTTCTGGTTCAGAGAGCGTATGTTCCCTTTCTACCAAAGACTGAAGCTTGCATCTCCCTGGCTGAGCTGGAGCACTGAAGACGTCTCACCAGAGCAGTGCAGACTGAGTACACCAGCAAGAAGCAGAACAGAGCAGACCCTCATGCAGAGCTGAGCTGTCTAGCTGTGGCACAGTTGAGCTTTTTACACTGAATAAAGTTTCCTTCTTCACTGCATCCCAAATTGGGCATTCCTGTTGGCACTGAATTGGCATCAACGACCATCAGTTGACATCCTCCATCCCCATCATCTCCTTCCCTTATGGCTGCATACAGGAGGGTATCGCCCATCTGCTGAAAATCCCTCAGTCTCACACTGATATCAAGTCACTCTTCTTCCTCACCAGCAGCCCATTCTGGAACCCTCTGCTGTCCAGCTCCCTCCCTTTGAGGTTTGGGGCACTGGTGGAGATTTGGGGGGTCAAAGGCTTCCCCAGCCACTCCTTGACATCACCTCTATTATCTTTGTCAAAGTCTACAGTCAAAGCTCATGTCTTTACATCCCCAACCCCCCAGTGGCTGGACTGGTGTCCCCAAAATACCCAGGGCTTAAATTGGGGTCTCTTACTCCTCACATTACACCACTCCCCTCCTCATAGTAAGCCCCAGTCCACTCCTCACAGTCAGCCCCAGTCACCCCAGGCACCTTGGACTCCTAGACTAGGCAATGCTATCATGCTCTCTCCCACCATTAGGCTTATGCATGAGCTGGTCCCTCCGCCTGGAATATTCTGACCTCTCTGACTCCATCTTTTATTTTTAATATATTTTTATTGATTTCAGAGAGGAAGGGAGAGAGAGAGAAACATCAATGATGAGAGAGAATCATTGATTGGTTGCCTCCTGCATGCCCCCCACTGGGGATCAAGCCCTCAACCTGGGCACGTGCCCTGACCGGGAATCTAATCTTGACCTCCTGGTTCCTTGGCTCTCTGAAAAGGCACTTCTTCAGAAAGCTGTCCTTCACCTTCACTCTCAATAAGGACCCCTCCTCAGTGTGCCCAGAAATTCCACCTGTTTTCTCACTGTCATCTCCTGCGCTGGGCTTTGGCCCAAAGTCTGTATTCTGTATCCAGTCCCTGCAGAGGGGCCCTCAGAGATGGCTGAGCTACATGAAATGGATTTGGTTCTTCCAGATCAGCTGGTAGTGCCCAGCAAGCGCGGGCACGCAATAGGTCCAGCCTGTGTGGGCTCATCCACCGCGGCCGCCTGCCAGAGCCCAGGAAGCAGCCCTGGGGAGGCCCCTTGTTGCCAAAAGCAAACAGGCCGCCAGGGAAGTTTTGCTCTGGGTCACACCCGCCTCTGGGTGGCTGGCTGCCAATCCTCCTGCCAGAAACCGCAGGCCCTCCGAAGCCGCCCAGAGATCGGGCCACAGGGCTTTGGAGGACTTGGGTCAGCTCTGCTAAGGGGGTGTCTGCCCAGCGCTTCCTGGATCCACAGCCCCCCGGGGTTGGGCAGGGGGTCTGGGCAGGGCTGCAGCAGATACAGCCAAGGCTTGGGAAGGCCCTCGTGGGCTGGGAGGAGCTACAGAGGCCCCTGCCAGCCTGTCACAGGCTCTCAGTGCTGACATTGGCTCTGGCTTTCACACACACACACACACACACACACACACACACACACACTCACACACACTCGCACACACTGGCAGGCACCCCCTTGGTGGCCTCCACGTTCTCACCTTCAGGTAAATGGGCTCATCAGTGGGAGGCTGAGGATGGGGAGAGGAGCAAGGAATGCAAAGACTAATGTGCATGTAAATGTGCGTGCGTGTGTGTGTGTGTGTATGTGTGTCTGTGTGTGTGTGGTGTGGTGGGGGGGGGGGGAGTGACCTCACAGCCTCCGGAACATAAAGACTTACAGGTCCTGCCTCCCAGGCTCAAAGCTGGCTCCGTGGGGGACACAGTGACATGAGAGGCACACCACAGACCCACCTCCTGGCCTTCTCCTTCCTCTGCCTCCTCTCTAAGGTAAGGGGGGCCCGGGCCCCGACACATACTGCTGGCTTCCATACCGCTGGGGGAGGTGTGAACTCACTGCCAAGGAGCCCTGCAGGGCCCGTGTTGGGCACAGCCAGGCTGCCCTCTGGGTGCCCAGACAGCTGCCGCTGGCCAGCCCTCTGTGTGCCCGCAGGCAAGCCCCTTCTCGCTGAGCCTCAGCTGCTTCCTCGCTTGAATGGGCACCGTGTCCATGAGGTCTTTGTGAAGATCCTTTCTGAGAATCCACCTGAGGTCTGCACAGGACCTGGCACATGGCAGAGTTCAGAAGAGGACTTTTCTGATTCTTACCAATCCCGACAATCCTTCCACAACGCAGTGGTGTCCTCCTCGCAAATGAGACTCAAGAGATGACCTGCCTTGCCTAACAACGAGCCAGGATTTTAATGGATGTTGGTATCCACCCCACTGGAAAGGTCATTCTGGAAGGGCATTAATGCTGTGGGCCCTCAGGCAGTAAGTGACCTCTGACCCTGGCTAGAGGGGACAAGGAGATACCTCCATAAAGTAATGCCTTCCCTTACGGGACATTTTCCAAAGAACTTGTGGAATGTCTACCTTGCCCAACAACCCTATCAGGAATTATTAGCGTGTTTTCAGCCAAGCAAGGCTCAGAGAGGGTAAGCAAGTTGCCCAAAGCCACACAGTCAAGAAACATCAGTGCAATAGAGGAGGTGGAGCCCAGGATAGGCCTGGGTGTGTGGGCTGGGGCTGGGGCTGGGGACTTCAGTTCCTACCTATCCACCTCCAACCCGGACTCCAGTTGCTGGGCCCTGTCATCCCCTCAGCAAGTGCTGTTCCCAGTCCCATGGGGATTGGCCCCGCCCCAAGCCATGATCTCACTGTATTTTCATGCTTCTTTAAGGAGCTTGCGCAGGAGTTTCTCCCTCCCGCTCCCACGCTGTGGTGCGGGGAAGACTGAGAACCCTGCTGGCTCCCCATCCTGCTGCTTGTTCTGCCAAAGGGGGTGGGCAGCACACTCTGCCGGGTGGGTGGCCGGGTGGTTGGAGCAGGGGACTTGGGGTTTGGGGCCCAGGATTAAATGAAAGACCAACATGAAGCCGCCCCCGACTTGCTGTGCACCCCTTCATTCTTCCCGGGTCCCAGGGCGCCAGGCAGCATCCCACACAGAACACAGGGACTTGGTCATCACGAACATGGAAAGCCACCACAATCCTCAGGGAGAGCACGCCTTGTCCTCCAGGCAGGTGGCCCTGGGCTCAGGGCTACGGGCAGAGGTCTGGCGGGGGAGACCTGGCAGAGTCACACTGACTGGGAGCTGGCCTGACTCAGTCCCTGTCCCTACTCCAGGGTAGGGGGCCTCCGCCCCAATTTCCTGAGGAGGGGACGGCTCCCTCCCCACGGAGCAGTGAAGGGAAGAGCTCACAGTCACACAGCAAGCCAGTGTCTAAGCTCAGACTTAGACTTCAGCTCTTGCCCAGAAGATTCCATGTCCAGGGCTCTGACCACAGAGCCTTGCCCCCTGGTGACCACAGCAAGGGGCTGGGGAAACCAAGGGGGTAATGGGGCAACTTGGACAGAGGGATGGAGTGGTGAGGATGGATGAGGAGATAGAGGAAGGCCAGAGAGGGCTATGCTGAAACACCCTCCCTGACTTGTCATTATTCCCCTTGGAGAAATGGGTAAACCGAGGCAGGGGCTAAACTGGCATCAGAGCCCCAGAGAACAAGAGGGGAGCATGGCCATTAAGAGCCTGGGCCTGGGGCTCCCAGGACCCTGGATCCCAATCCTGGCTCTACCTCTGATAGGAGATGCCTCTACATTGCCTTGGGCTTTGGTGTCCTCATCTTTGAAATGGGATACCTCACGTGGGAGGGTTAAATTAAACAACACGTTAAAGGGCTCAGCACATGGCAGGCCCATGGTAAATATTAGCCGTCATCATTGAGAACATTAGTAGCCTCTCCTGGGTATCAGGGCCTATGGTCCAGCCCGTGCCAAGGTTACATGGTAGAAAGAGCCCCAAATGGGAAGCCAGGTGCAAAGCAGAAGACCTATGTCCAGGCCCTGCTGCTTCCAGGTAGGAGGGACCCAAGAGCCAGTGCTGGGCAGACTTCCCCACTTTCCTCAAGAGGCCGCAGGCACACAGCTGCCCGCCTGCACCCATAGTGCCCTTTTAGATGGAGCCCTGCAAGCACCTCCTGCTGAGGCCCCACCGGAGGCTGGTCGGCCTGTTTGGGGCACCCCCTCATGGCCAGGGTGGGAACTGCAAGCCACTGAAAGCATGTTTGCACACTTGGGGGTGCTAGGGATGGGACAAGGTGGGAACCAGAGTAAATCAGTCATTGCCTGCCTTGGGGCCACAGAGGCTATGAGGGCACTGATTTCATCTTCCTAAACTGCAAGTCTTCTATCCAAAACCTCCAGTCCCCCAAGGATCCTACTAAAGATCAGTCCTCCACAGATGGGGCCACTGGGAATATCTTGAATTATGCCTACCTCTTGCTCCCCACCTTCAACTGGACATACAGGGAGCCCATGCATCTGGTTTGGGTGTTTCTCTGTCCTGAGGGGGGAGGGGCAGTTAGGACATTTGAGTTGATACCTTGACCCTGCCCCAGGGCATGGGTCCCTGGCTCAGACCTTCCCCTATTACAGGGCAAATCAACCCCCCTCTCCAGGCCCTGGGGCCTCAGTGCAGAAGCAAGGGCCCAGCTCTGCAGCTAACACACTGTGACTTCTGCCAAGTCCCTTCCCTTCTCTGATGCTCAGGAGCCCCATCTGTGCATGGCAGGGGGCAGGCGGGAGGGGGGAGACGGGAGCAGAGGTGCCAAGGACCTGACTGTGCATCAGAAGCCCCTGAGCACCCTGTTAAAACTCAGACTCCAGGGCCCTGCCCCTGGAAGCTCTGACTCGGTAAGTCCCAGAGGAGGCCTAGGGGTCAGTATTTTACCAAGTTTCCTAGGTGATCCGATGCTTGTCCGGGAACATAATCTGAATTGTTCTAAAGATGAAAAACTTCCATGAGACTGTTGGATTTATTCAGCTCTCGAGATAAGTATCTAAGGTCCACTTGCTGGAAAGTTATAGGACCTGTGGTTTCAATCCTTCATTTTGCTGCTTCTGCCTTTCGGTAATCTTAGAGGGCAGATCCTGAGCCCTTTATTGTAATTCACAATGATGAGCATCACAGCTACAGGCATGGAGCATCTGCTGCACCCCAGGCCTGTGCTAAGGGTTTAACATGCATCGTTCCCTGTACTCCCCAAAGCAGCTTCTGGGTTAGATACTGCTGTTCCCCCTTTTTTACAAACGAGGATATTGAGGCTCAGAGAGCTTAAGTAACTTGCTCAAGGTCACTCAACTAATAAGGGGCAGAGTACCACAGGAGTGCCAGGGTTCAAGAGCAGGTCTGTGTGATTCTGGGTCAACATGTGGACCCCCACACTGCCCAGCCTGGCAGAGAGATAGCCAGTTGTGAGGGTCTCACTGGCCACCTTGAACGACCATGGCTGAGTGGGGTCTCTGTCTCTGCAGGTGTGTGCCCAGCTGTGCCCAATGCCGTGTACCTGCCCCTGGCCGCCGCCCCAATGCCCACCGGGGGTGCCCCTGGTGCTGGACGGCTGCAACTGCTGCCGACTATGTGCACGGCGGCTCGGGGAGCCCTGTGACCACCTCCACGTCTGTGACTCCAGCCAGGGCCTGGTGTGCCAGCGCGGGGCGGGCCCTGGAGGCCAGGGGGCCGTGTGCCTCTGTAAGCAGGTTTGCGGGACTGATGGAGGGTGTGGTTGGAGAGGAGGGGTGGCCAAGGCCAAGGTGTCCTCAGTCAAAGGGAAGCCTTTCTCTCTCTACCTTTTACCTTCACTTCAGATCCATCATCCAGTTCAGCCAAACCTGGTTACACAAGGTTCCCTAGGCCCACTCCCTGCTTCTCTCCTCTTGTATTTACTATGACCACGCCAACACCTGAACAGCCTTCCTCCATTCCTACCTGCCCAAATCACAGCCATAACCTCCTCCTCTGAGAAGCCCTCCAGTATTCTTCTAACCAGAAGTCATCACCCCCTCCTCAGGACCCTCAGAATACTTTTGGGAAAATAAAAGTGCACCAACCTCTTATTTAGGGCATAATGTATGTCAGGCACTTTGCTAAGCACTTACTACATAAATCACAATAATCCTATGAGGTAAGTAGTACTTTCAGACCCATTTTATATATGAGGAAACTGAGGTTCATCGATATTAACAGAAGAGGTTCCATGCTTGGAACCTGTTCCAACAGGCTCTAAAGCAGTGGTTCTCAACCTGTGGGTCCGCGACCCTTTTGGCGGTCAAACGACCCTTTCACAGGGGTCGCCTAAGACCATCCTGCATATCAGATATTTACATTACGATTCATAACAGTAGCAACATTACAGTTATGAAGTAGCAACAAAAATAATTTTATGGTTGGGTCACAACATGAGGAACTGTATTTAAAGGGCCAGAAGGTTGAGAACCACTGCTCTAAAGCAACATTCTGTCTCTCTTCCTCCTGAATCGGGAGCCCATAGTTTGCATTTGCCAGTGACCCTGAGAGCCTCCATCTTCCACACTCTTCCAGTCCCCGGGCCCCTGATGCTTTCGATGGGGTTCTCAGCTCCACGCTAGGGATATTTGGGGCCAGATTATTCCTGTTGTGGGGCTTGTCCTGTGCTTGGTAGGGCATTTAGCAGTGTCCCAGGTCTCTGCCACTACATGCCAGTGCACCCTCATTCCCAAGTTATGACAATCTGTCTCCAGACATTGCTGAATGTCCCCGGGGAGAAAATCATCTCCAACTGAGAACTCGCTGCTTTAGAGAAATAGAAAGAAGCAAGGAACTGTTCTTCCCTTCCTCCCTTCCTCCCTTCCTCCCTTACTTCCTTCCCTCCCTCATTCTCCCCCCAACCCCCTTGCTCTAATAAGCCTTGTAGAGCAATTGATCTCTTTCATCTATGTGCATGTCACACTTCTATAAAAATAAGAACGAGAGGGGTGCCCATGAGTCCATCTATAGGAAAAACCCTGCTAACAAGCAAAACAACAAAACTTGGAGACAGAAAGTTATCCTTAGTAAATCCCTGTTAAATATTTTATTGGATCAGAGGCGTATAATAATAAGAAAGGGGCGATTTGTAGATAAACTCATAGATGATTGCTAATTTAAAAAGTTCCTGAAGAAAGAAATGAGACAAGCAACATAGCTTATAAGGCTGATGTTTAGATTAGCCACAGCACTTGTCAGAGTTTATTTATTGCACAGCACTTAGTATGTGCCAGCCACTAGGGGTTTCACAAATCCCACCTCATTTGACCTCCCGACAACCATGTGATGTAGGCATAGATGCTATCCTTATTTTATAGATGGAAAAAGGAGGCACAGAGTGGTGAAGCTACTTGCCCAAAGTCACACAGCTCATAAGTAGCTGAGCTGGGATTTGAACCCAGGAAGCTGGCTCCACATCTTAGTGTCCATTGCTCTACTGCTTGACACCCAACATATGCCTGGTACCTAGTGGCTGCTATTGCCAAGAACTTCATTCAGGGGCCTTTTTCTTTATTTATTCCATCTCGATTCAGACTCAAACACCTGGAGGCCAAAGATTTATTTGGTTCTTGTTCCTTCCTGCAACTCCCAGTCCCAATCTGGCAACATGGTGGATGCTCATGAATGTCTAATGATATGAACTGAATTTGGGAGCTGGGAGTTGGTGAACCCCACAGGTGGGCCAGGGCCAGCTAAGACGTCACAGGGGCTAAACTAGGTCCTGGCTCTGGGGGGACACCAAGCCCCTGGCTTCCCACCCCCCATACGTGCAGCTTCTGCAGCTCGGTGGAGGGCAGCTCCATCCTTCCCCTGGCTCAGGTTCAAAAGCTCGGAGGCCTCCTTGGAGTCTCTCTATTCTTTACATCCCACATCCCACATCCGCCAGCAAATTCTTCACAAAATTTCCAGGACCTGACCCTTCTCTGTCCCTCCACTGCTACCAGCCTGCCTGAGCCCCATTGCCACTTGCCTGGACGGCAGTAGCTCCATAAGCCTCCCTGCTTCTGCCCCAGTCTATTCTCAGCATAGTAGCACAAGGGCCCCTTGTGACACATAAGTCAGATCAGGTCCCTCCTCTGCCTGAAAGTCTCCAACAGCTTCTCATTTCCTCAGAATAAAAGGCAGAGTCCTCTAGTGGCCTGATCCTGTGGCTCTCTTATCTAACTCCCTCCCTCCCTCCTGCTCTCTGCTCCAGCCACACTGGCTCTTTGCTGCTCCTTAAATGCCCAGGCACGTGCCCACCTCAGGGCCTTTGCACTGGCCTCGGTACTGTTCTTTGCCTCCTTCACATCTTTGCTAATATAGCACCTTCTCAGTGAGGACTTCCCTGATCAACAAACACATTTAAAAACTATAATCCTGCCCCACTCCTTAACTCTGCCCTCCTTTACTTTTCCAGAACTAATCTCAAATTCTACATACTTGTTATTGTATTTATTTCCACTAGAGCAACATCTCCAATGAGGGCAGGATTTTGCCTGTTTTAGTCATTGCTGTATCACAAGTGCCTAGAACAGTGCCTGGTGCGTAGTAGGCACTCGATAAGTAATTGTTGAATGAATGAACGAATGAGTTCATGAATGAATAGTAACAGTAGTTCTAGTGGGGCTAGCAATCACAGCCACCATTCATTTATTAAGCATGCACTGTGCGATAGCCCTTCATGCACGTGATTTAATTTTAGCCTTTAGTAATGAAGTAGGTCCTATTATTATCCCTATTTTGCAGATGAGGGAACTGGGGCTTAGAGAGGTTAAATCACTGCCTAAGGTCACACAGCATGCAAGCAGATGAAGGTAAAACACACACACACACACACACACACACACACACACACACACACACACAATAAAACAAAACAAAGAACCTGTGTTGTTCCTTCTCCTGTAGGTGACCCTCAGAGGGAAGGAGGATTCTGAAATCACCGGATGACAAAACTGTGCTCTGAAATTATTTGGGGGAGGGCATTGGCGAGGGTCCAGAAGGAGGAGTGAGGTTTGGGCAGCTGTCAGTGTGCATGGATAGATGGTGGGGAGCCCACGACTGAGTAAGTGTGGAGGTACCTCGTGCTGTTGGGACCATGCCTGAGTGCACCAGGGCTGGGGAGTGGCTGCCCAGGCGTCAATCTCCCACCTTCCCACAGCCCGCTCTGAGCTGAAGGACCCAGGAGAGGCGCCAGGAAACCTTGCTAAAATTATCGCCCTTCTAGCTGACTTTCCTAAACAGTCCCTCTGTTTACCAGTTTATCTCAGCAACCAAGAGGCCCGGGGCTGTGGCACCGGGGTGGGGGTGGGGGAAGCAGGTTTGGCCAGGCTGGGGAAAGGGATTGAGGTATAACTGCCCCTGCAGTTTTTAGGAAACCAGTGGCCACAGGGTCCAGGCCAAAAGGCTGGGATTGAAGCGAAAGGGCCGTGGCCTGGAAGGAGGAAGGAGGGAGTACTGACACAGGTCCTGTTCCCTCTGAGGAAGAAACGTCACCCACTCCCACTTATTGAGCATCTGCTATGTTCCGAGCTTGGGGCAAAAGGCTTTGAGGTGGCTGGCTCATTCAGTCCTCCAGTGGCCCGGGTACCACGGCTCAGAGGTGAAATACTTGCCCTCGGCTTGCAAGTGGGGAACTGGGGCTTGAACCCAAGTCTATATGGTTCCCACATTCCTGCATGTGCACGGACTGTTTGAGGTTTTTCTCTGAAGACCTGGGAAAACGGGCTTCCCTTCCCAGACCCAGCGGAACTGCCACCACGTCTCCAGGAAGCTTCCTGATGGCTCCTTTCTTTGCACTTCAGCGGCTCCCACGCACCTCTCCAGGGCAATTGATTGCATCTTGGAGATGAGGACTTGCACATCTGTCTCCCACACTGGCCCCCGAGTCTCCCCAGGCAAGGACTGTGTCTTAGCCTGTCTAGGCGCACAGCGGTTGGCACCCAGACAGGGCACAATATATGTCTCAGGAATTATAAGGAGTCAGAACTATGTTATCAGTGTCTCTTATATGCTGGGCTCTGTGCCAGGCATTCATTCAAAGGACATGGAGTGTGCCATTCATGCTGTGAGCCAGCACAGGGAATGCCAGGATGAACACTCTCAGGCCCAGCCTTCAAGGAGTTCGTGTCTAGCAGAGCAAGTGGTATTAGTGCCCATGTCTTGGGGGCTTCATTCGAAGAGTGTTTCCTGAGCACCTACTATATGCCTAGCCCTATGCTAGATGCTAGGCACCCATTATCTCATGTAACGGAAGGGGGAGGTTGTGTTCTCATCATTGCTGCTGTTAGGGTGACTCAGAGAAGTTAAGTAGCTCACCTGAAGTCACACAGCCAGCAAGGCGAGCCCTGACCTGACAGTATGACTGCACAGGCAGAGGGACAATGGAAGTTTGCTGCATAAAATCTCAGTGTGCGCATCCCAGTCACCCACTGTTAACCTATCGCAATTATACTAATAACTACAACAGAGCAGGCGTCTCCTTTCGGTTGTAGTCATTACATATATCGTGGTGTTTAGTCTATTCCACAACCCCATGAGATTCAGGGTGGGGCACAAGTAGGTTTGTAACTGTATGTGAAACAGAGTTTATTCTTGTGTCATTATTTATTAATTATTGTATTGCTTATATTGCAACTGTAAACCTGCGTTTGCCCACCCCGGTAAGTACCATTGTAACCCATTTTGCAGGAGAAGAAACTGAGGCAAGAAGAAGTGAAATCACTTGGCCAAGGTCCATAGCTAATGAAGGGGCTCAGACCAGGCAGGTCTTCTCGCCAACCCAGGCCACGCTGGCTTCCTGCAGGTGCCAGGGCAGCTGGCCACGGGAGTGGGTGTGTGTGGCTGGCTGGAGCCCCCGGGCAGTGCTCAGATGCCTCAAGGGCACAGCCCCCCAGGGGGACCTGGGCCAGCTCTGCAGACAGAGCCATGTGGAGGATGTGGCCGGCCCAGCCTTGCCCGGGGAAGGTTGGGGGTCACCGATGGGCCCTCTTTCTCCTCCGCAGGGGGAGAGGATGACGGGAGCTGTGAGGTGAACGGCCGCCGGTTCCGGGATGGGGAGGCCTTCCAGCCGCACTGCAGGATCCGCTGCCGCTGCGAGGATGGCGGCTTCACCTGCGTGCCCCTGTGCAGCGAGGACGTCCGGCTGCCCAGCTGGGACTGCCCGCACCCCCGGAGGGTGGAGGTGCCGGGCAAGTGCTGCCCTGAGTGGGTGTGCGACCAGGCAGGGGCGCTGGGGGGCCAGCCCCTCCTGGCCCCAGGTGAGTGCAGGGCCGTCCAGGCCCTGGGGCAGGGTACCTGGAGGGCGGGATCTCCACGGGGCAGCCACCTGCACACACCAGAGGGAAGGTTTTAGCGGCAGAAGCGGGCGGGGCCGCTGGCTGAGGAGACAGGAAAGCGGAGGAGAGAGGCAGAGACCTCTTTAAAACCTACTAAACAACAAACAGTGGGCATGTCATTTTAAGTCATAAATAAATTAAGTCCAAATTGTGGCAGAGTGGAGAAGGGAAAGGAGGGTGGAAATACTTGAAGCAAATTCTCACATTTCATAGCGAAGTACACTATTATAATATACATTCTTTTATACCTAATTGGTACATATTAATAATATGTTTACATAACATGACAAATATCCTATAATATATAACACTAATGTAATACTATTGGGCTTATCAACAAAGGAACTCAAAACTGAACATAGCAACGTGGTTGACATGGGCCTAGGGATGGGCAGGGGCGGGGAAAAGACAGTTACCTTCTGCCATAAATTCTTCAGTTTTAGAGACTTTGTTGTTGACATGTTGCAGATTTGTAAAAATTGTTATGATGTGTATTTTTTAAAAAAAGGAAACTGAAAAGAGAGCACTGACCCCACAGATGATGGTGCCTCCTGGGAGGCAGCGGAGCGTGGTGGCTAAGCATGAAGTCGGCCCGGATGCTAAGGCCAGTTAGGCCACTTCCGCGCTGTGTGACTCTGAGAAAGTTGCTTAACGTCTCTGTGCCTCGGGTCCTTCAACTGTAAAATAAGTGTCCACCTCATAGAGTTGTTGCAAGGACTGGAGGAGTTAACACAAGTAACGCAGTTAGGACCGTGCCTAGCACACAGCGCTCCACTGGTGGCAGCTCTTATTCCTACAGAACGTGACCCAGCCGTTTAAATCCACGGGAGAACGCCATGAGTTCACCTTCTGTATAAAAAGCAGGATAGGACACCATGTGTGCGATTTTATCTCCACTATGTGCATGCGTATGTGTGTGTCTGCAAGTAAATGTACATGTACACATCATGCATGCTGCACACATGTGCATATACCACAGGGTTTCTCCGCCTTGGTACTGCTGGCATTTGGGTTGAGTAATTCTTCAGTGAGGGGCCGCCGTGTGCATTGTAGGATGTTTACCTACAATGTTTACCTGTCTACCCCTGTGGCAACCTCCCTCAATTGTGACAACAAAAAACGTCTCCAGACATCGCCAGGTGACCCCTGGAGGACAATGTCGCCCCTGGATAAGGACCACTTGTAGAAAGGGCCAGAAGGAAGGACAACAAGAGATTAGCAGAGAAGAATAAAACGGGAGGAGGGAGCCCAGACCCTGGTGAACCCGCCGTGGTGTTCCAGGCGCGGCCTCGGGGTCATGAGCACCCCTGTTGCGTCACACGGGCCGCAACCTCCTGTGAAAGGAGAAGCCCGCTGGTTGCTGGGGGAGGGCCATGCCAGCACCAGCAGAGTAACCTAATAGCCATCATGTATGAGGGGGTGACCAGTACCGGCACTATGCTAAGTACTCCCTTCCTGAGGGCTGACTGACTCCTGTCACCACAGACTAGTGCTGCCTGTTCTTGAACTTCACATAAGTAGAATTGCACAGTAGGTACCTTTAATGAATGGCTTCTTTTGCTCAGTACCAGCTCTGGGGTAGAGGGGCCGAGGGGCTGAGGGAGGGCAGAGTCCAGAAGCCGGAACCAGCCAGCGGGAGATGGAACCACAGCAGGGCTGTCTGCCTGGAGCAGGAGCCTCTGAGGAGATGCAACCATGTAGACCTTACAGAAAGCAGGCGGAGGTGGGGGTAGACCTGGCTTCTGCTCCCTTCTGCCCCCCAGTTTCCAGTGGGGCCTCCCATGGGTCAAACCTACTGGAAGGTGACAGGGGAGGGAATCTGAGAATGCAGAGCCTGAAACACAAGAGACATAACGCAGAGTAGAGGAGGGCAGGGAGGACTTGAGAGCAGGGGTGAGTCCAGCCCACAAGGTAACAAATTGTATTCAGTCCTAACAAAGATCAGAGAATCTACACAGTGAGGTGAGCACCGGGCACTATGCTAAGTACTTCACCTGTTCCACTCGCTACTAAAAAGACTAGGAAATTGACACAGGAAGGAACTGAGGTCCAGAGAGGAGAAGCAATGTGACCAAGATCGCACCACAGCCCAGAGGGTTGATTTGGCTGCCAAGTCCTGACCCAGTGCTGACCCTTCTTTCTTCCCCCCAGGACCTCAGGCTGCTGGCCTTGTCGCTCCCCCGCCTCCTGGGGCGCCCTGCCCAGAATGGAGCACAGCCTGGGGCCCCTGCTCGGCCACCTGCGGGCTAGGCGTGACCACCCGCGTGTCCAACCAGAACCGCTTCTGTAGACTGGAGACCCAGCGCCGCCTGTGCCTGCCTGGGCCCTGCCCACCTGCCGGGGGCCACAACCCCCTACTCAGTGCCTTTTAGAGCTGGCCCAGCGGGCAGCCATCCAGCCCCGGTACTCCCTCTGGGCCCTGGAGGACAAGAATGTCACAGCAGCCTGGGCCCTCTGGACCCTGAGATAGACCGGGGATGCATGCCTTCGTCCTGTTCCCTCTAACTCCCAGCCTGGGGCGGGCGGGGGGGGGGGGGGGCGGGGGGAGGACCAGTTTCTAGGGTCTTCTGCTCCGTTCCCAGCCTGCACACAGTCTTTATCCAAGGTGCACGGGGGCTAGCTTGTCAGGAGATGGGGCGGCCATCTCTGCTTAACCATCAGGCTCAGGCAGGTACTGGGCTGCACTGGCCATTTTCCTGGGGTGTGGGAAGAGGGGCACAGATCTGAATCTCCTGCATCCTCTCCTGTGGTGATGCAGACACCTCCCTGCGCCTGCGCCTGTGCAGGAAGCTGGGTGTGGGGCGCTGTCTGAGAAAGCCTTCCCCATCCCGGGCAGAATTCAGGGGCCGAATGCTTTGTGAAAATCTCAAGACGAAATCATGTCTTAGGAAGGTCCATTACCCTCAGCTTGCATCGTGAGCATCACCTTCGCTGCGCGCCTGCGTGCCGGCACTGAGCTAGGCACTCCGCAGAGATCCGCTCTTTGCAATATTTTGGATTCAAGCAAAGCAGGGGAGCGTGTCCTCCGGGGACTGGGGAACACGGTCTGAAATAAACCAGCCCACGTGTGAGGTTCTGTTCGAAGTCTCGTGTTTAATTGTGTAAAAGACCTTCCTTACCTATGAGTTTACATCCTCCTCTGTGACCTACTGTGTTTGTTCGAAAATAGAAACTGTGTTTTCTTCAGGATTCAACGAGGAAATTAGAAAACACAGTCAGACACACAGGCCTTCAGTGTAGGATTGAGCGAGTTTTCATAACGCACACACCTATGTAACACACACTGCAATCAAGGCATAAAACATTCCCACGGCCTCAGTTTCCTCCCGCCCCTTCCGACTCACCCCTCCGCTTCCTGAGGGCTGACTGGCTTCTGTCACCACAGACTAGTGCTGCCTGTTCTTGAACTTCACATAAGTAGAATTGCACAGTAGGTACCTTTAATGAACGGCTTCTTTTGCTCAGTACCAGCTCTGGGGTGGAGGGGCCGAGGGGCTGAGGGAGGGCAGAGTGCAGAAGCCGGGACCAGCCAGCGGGAGATGGAACCACAGCAGGGCTGTCTGCCTGGAGCAGGAGCCCCTGAGGAGATGCAACCATGTAGACCAGTGATGGCGAACCTTTTGAGCTCGCGTGTCAGCATTTTGAAAAACCCTAACTTAACTCTGGTGCCGTGTCACATATAGAAATGTTTTGATATTTGCAACCATAGTAAAACAAAGACTTATATTTTTGATACTTATTTTATATATTTAAATGGCATTTAACAAAGAAAAATCAACCAAAAAAATGAGTTCGCATGTCACCTTTGACACGCATGTCATAGGTTCGCCATCACTGTTCTATGCAGTGTCTCACTTGACCCCACTATAACCCTTTAAAGTAAGTATAAATGTGCCCATTTCATAGACAGAGACACTGAGGTACTGAGAAATTAAGGAAATAGCCCAAGTGTACAACAGTTCGAAGTTGGCAAAATCAGTATTCAAACCCAGAGCGCCAGCTCCAGAACCCGCGCTCTTGGCCACCAGGCCACACTGACCAAAGTCACCACAGTGTGCGGGGGTAAGGTGCCAGGGCCTGGAGGAGACGCTGAGAGAGTGGGAAGGAAGAAACGGGGGAATCAGCAGGGCCTGACCACACTTGCGGATTTTGTGTGAAGGATGGATATGACGAGCAAGGAGATGAGACCCTAAACATGTCCCTGGGCTTTCTGCTGGCGGGTGGGGAGGAAGGGGGCCGTGGACAGAAGCCAGGAAGAGCAAAGGTGAGCCCCACAGCTGGCAGATAGGAGAGGGCATTTCAGGTGTTTTAAGTTTGAAGATGAAGTAGTCACCAGGACAGGAGGAGGTTATGATCAAAGATGGGTCAGGGCTGACACAGAGAAGAGTTCAGGTGGAGAATTTGAGTCATCTGCAGAAAGGAGAGGAGTAGGGAATGAGATTGGGAGGGCCAGTTTAGTTAGGGACACAGACAACCAGAATGTGTGTCCGCTGGTGTGTATAACCTGTTATCACCCTACCCGATCCCACTGTTTCCCGCTGGCCGGGCCATCATCGGCTCTGCCCAGATGATGTAGTAGCCTCCTCCTGGCCTCCTGGCTTCCACTCTTGCCCCTTACAGTGTGTGCCAGAGGGACCCTGTTAAAACCAAGCCAGACCACACCACTCCTTTCCCCTCTGAGAAAAGCGAAAGGCCTTCTTCACACAACCTGCAAGCCCCCACTCTGCCCAGTCAGCCCTCTGTCCTCGCCCCCAATTACTGTCCCTCTTGCTCATGCTGCTCAGACCTCACGGCCTCCCTGCTGTTTCTCAAACACATTAGACATGCACCCACCTCAGGACCTTTGCACAGGCTGTTCCCTCTGCCTGACATCATCTTCCCCCAATCTCCCCAATGCATGTAGCACATACGACCTTTTAACACATTACATAACCTACTTATAACATTTATTATTTTTGCTGAATTACACAAGCACTGGGACCTTATCTGCTTTGTTCACTGATGGATCTCCGGGACCTAGAACAGTGCCCAGGAGGCTCAGTTGTTATTGAATGAATGAAATAATATATCTTGCTTTTTAAAAGGGGATTTAATGGTGCATTAAAAAGTAAATGTGTAGTTGACAAATGGGAGTGGCTGCCCAGTTCACAGTGATTTCTCAGTGTCATGTCAGCGTGGGTCAGAGCTCACCCCCACCCCCGCCCCAATCATCAACATCAGTATTTCTGAGTGGGGTACCCAGGCCAGAAGTATCAGCATCACCTGGCACCTGGTTAGAAATGCAAACATCTTGTGACGCATTCCAGGCTCACAGACTGTGGGGGTGGGGCTCATAAATCTGTGTTTTAATAAACCCTCCACCTCATTAAAATCTAGGTCACGTTACAGTGTGACTTCAGACAAGAATCCGAAGAAAACGTGCTGTGCTGCTGCCCCCTTGTGGCATTTGGTGCATGAACCGCGGAGAGGCCGCCAGCCTGGAGGAGCCCTCACAGACTGGGGTCCAGCTGCCTCCTGTTTCCCCGGTGGAGAAACGGAGTCTTGGGGAAGGGAGGCACCTTGCCCGAGGTCTCAGAGTGCGGCGGTGATAGGTCTAGGCGCAGGACTCTTTCCTATTTGTGACCAATGCAGCAGCTTTCTTTTTTCAAAATATTATTTAAACAGATGCCGTAAGGGCCCCTGCTGGGGCCTGAGCCAGGGCGCCTCCATCTGTCCCCTGGCTGACTCCCTGGTCCCTCTGCCCACAGTCCAGCTCCCTCCTCCCATCGGCTGTACCGCACAGCCAGAAAGATCCTTCTAGAGCACAATTATGGTTATGTCACTCTGCCTGAACCCCGCTGGGGCTCAGCATTGCCCTCTGGGTTCAGTCCAGACTCCTTCCATGACTCACAGGCCTGCTGGGTCTTCCAGTCTCTTCTGTGCTCCAGCCACACTGGACAGCTCAGAGGGCCACCCCCTTCTGCCCAGGCCTTTCCCCAGGCTGCACCCTCTGCCTGGGGCACTCTTTCCCCAGCACCTAGAGGACCCCTGATTATTCCTCATTAGTCACAGTTTCCATGTCTACCTGAGGCCGGCCCGCCCCAGTGCCCTGGCTCCTATGCCCTCTCGCCTGCCCGGGAGCATTCTACCCCTCCTCCCCCCACACCTTCCATGTCTCCCTTCCTTCCAGATAACCCCCGTCAATATACACCCGTGCTGGTCCTTTTGCTGGTGCTGTGAAGGGTGCAGCCACCAGCCCATGCCCATCCTGGTAACAAGAGGTGGAATGCCCTCTTCAAGGGGCAACTGCAGCAGCCTCGCTGGGAGTGCCTGGGGAAGGGAAGGCCACCTGTGGCCACCGCGTTTCATGTGCCATCAAAAGCCCCCTTGCCGCTCCATGGCAGAAATGTGTTCTAGGGTCTGAGCCAGCCTCCGCGGGGTCACGATTTAGCTAATTCTCGAGAACGCACCTTTTCCCTCGTCCCCTGCAGTTCATCATAACATCAGGGAGGACCCAGGGCAAGAGCCTAGGCCTCTTGGACACCTTGAGGCTGGCCAAGGAGCCTCGTTGTAAGTGGCCCCATCGCACTGGGTTGCTTCTTGTCTGTGGCCCATTCACTGGTTTCTGGCCCCTCGCCACTGGCTTTCATAAAAACGCTTCCCATCTCATCACTGGGCCAGGGGTATTCACCCAAGTCCACTCTCTGCTGGATGGGCAGTACCTAACATGAGCTTCTTCCGTGGCTTCTCTGCAGCCCTGAGCCAGCAGGCGGCCAAACACGAGTGGTTGATTCTGCCTTTTACATGCTTCTCACCTCAAGGACTGGACCTTCACAGCTCGAGTACTCTCCTGCACCCTCCCCTCTCCGAGACATCCCATTCATGGCTGCTTGGACTCCCTTCCGCTCTTGATTCCTGCTCTGTGCTCCACTCTCAGCCTCGTAGAAGCCCAAGGTTTTACAACCTTGTGGCAGCCACCCTACCTCCACAACCTCGCCCTTATCCGGGGTCTCAATGTGCCCCCTGTGCCACGTAAAGTCCCCCTCAGTCCATTCACCAGCTCAGCCAGATTTCTCGGGCATTTGAATTTGATCTCCAAAAGAAATACAAATATATTTTAAAATCTCATGTCAACCGTCATCTTTGTAATGTTTCCTTAATCATTGTGATGTTTGAGCTGCTGGGTCCAGCCATGCCTGAAGCCATACATCCCGACACCGTTTAGCTATGTGACTCAATAAATTCTCTTTATTACTTAAACTAGTTTAATTGGGTTCCTATCACTTGAACTAAAAGAGTCGCAACAAATCTAACTACAGTAGGTCCTCGGGTTGCGTCGGAGATCCGTTCCTAGGGGGCGAAGTAACACAGTTTTCGCCATAAGTCGGAACCCACCTATATAAGCACCTACGTCACTCACATGGAGCACATCAGTAATGAAGTGAAAGAGGAAAAAAATTTAAAAGATAACAATTCCTGACCTTCACTTGTGGTAAATAAATAAAAAATATAAAGCACGTACGTACATACGTCGAAAT